CCAACTATAGGAGATATAACAAAGTTATTTCCTCCAGTTCCTTGGGTCATAAAAACATACAGCACACTTATATTTCCATTACTAACACACCACAAAGCCAGTAACTCCTCCTCCTCCCCATCTTCCTCCATTTTCTCCCTCTTTTCCAATAACGGAGAATATTTGTAGCTCAGGGTTGACATGAGGGTTCCTTGGTTGGAATGGGATGTTTAAGCCCTTTGCTCATAGCTACTCACCTCTGACCTGATATAATTCGAATAGTGGTAGACCACAGCTTCTGGCATTGCAGGGGGAATGGTGGTAGTGCATGGTGGGGTGGGCAGCCAAACTACATCAGGCCAGAGTCCAAGAGCAGAGGCAATGGCTCAATGCCAGATGCCACATGCCATTGCTGTTCTCCTGCCACGCATCCTCCCCCCACATGCCAGCCGGTGCACATCACGGCATCTCTTGCTCTCTCCCCAGCCTACCACTGATATTGCACACTGTCCCACCCCAACTCCCTTGGTCTCTCCCCCAGCACCATTGCTGTCACCCACACTCAACTGGCTGGGGGCTATCTGTCCTGTGCCACCAAAGGCTCAAGTCAAACGGTGTGTAGGAACAAAGGGCTAGGGGAGGACCAACAGAGGAGGAAAGCTGGCTGTAAATTGGCTGAGGGAGGTGACTGGGGGAGAAGCCAAGGGTCGGTGCCTAAACATCCCATTGTGACCAAGAAAACTACATGTCAATCCTGAGCTACAAATATTCTCTATTATCGGGAAAGGGGAAAAATGGGAGGAAGATGGGGAGGAGGAAGAGTTGCCCCTCCTAGGGCTTTGTGGCATGTTAAGTGTTGTGGTTCGCTGGCAGCCTGTGCAGAGGTAACGGAATCAGACAGTGGGGAAGAACGGGGACCAGTGTGGGAATTGGGGAAGGACTTGGGCAAGGGCCCTGTGTCCGATGTAGAGATGGGGCCAGGATCATCTGGGAGTTGTGTGCAGATTCCGGAGCCTCCAGTCTAGCAGCAGTGAGGCAGAGGAACCTTGTTCCCAGTGCACGTGTGTGCAGCTGCTAAAAGGCAAGAGCAGTGGGTGACCCGGGAGCAAGGCTTGGAGGGGATTGCCCCTCCCCTAAGGTATAAAAGAAGTGCAAAGGTATAGAAACTTTTGCAGGAAGCAGTTATTCGCTCTGTTCGGATTAAACTTGAAGCTCTGTATAGACTTTGTACTTCGCCTTTTTTTTACGGTTAATTTGGCACTTTAGTTATTGGCAGCAATTCAAAGGAGATAAAGGTGGGTGTTTATTTCAAGGGACTGTTTAGGACTCATTACGGGCTGGGAATGAACATAATTCCCAGCGTAGAAATAAAATGAGCTGTTTGGACTAGGCATACAGTCTCAGGAAGCCTTGGTCAGAACAGTGAGGAAATACAAATATCTTGTATGTTTTTATGACCTGAAGAATTGGAGGAAATACCTGTCTTATCTCCAATATCAGTTGGAATTTTTCTTTGTAATGCATATAGTTCTTGTACTTGCCCTCCGTTATAGGAAATATAGGCATAGGTGTGAAATTTCATGCCCTCTGGTTTGGTTCCAGCAATTAGTCAGTGTTTTTAGTTCTTTGTAGTGCTGTCTCTAGTTCTGTGGGTCACCTTAGGTTACCTTAGAAAGCACGTCTAAGATCACCTATGCAGGATGGTGTGTGTGTGAATACCAGGAGCATGTTGCAGATCTCGGCACTGGGTCATCGAACTGCTGTGATGCTGCAACATATGTAATTTTTGGAGCAGGTGGTAAATACTTTTTTGGGGTGTGGGTGTGTGTAATTTTGAATGATCGCTAATTGAACTATTGTGACTCAAGGAAGGAATACCTGTAGTTCTCCTTATGATAGACATTGAAGCCAATTATTTAGTGAGGTAGTGAGCCATTTCAAGCAAAAGCTATGATTTAATCTGTTTTCATTTTGATTCTTCCATGACCTAAAATGCCCTTTCCAAGTGGTATTATTCTACTTCTCCATTCATTCCAATCCTGATATGTACTTTGCTAACTATGGATGGCAGCTTACTTTAATTCATTGTGTCATCTGGGTCCTAGAATTGTAACTGATAACAGTTTGTATCTTTCAACTTTATTTTTAAGTGTGCAACCAAAGCTACATCTGATTTGTTTAGGGGTAATATCTTAGAGCCGTGATGGCGAACCTATGGCATGCGTGCCAGAGGTGGCATGCAAAGTTCTCTTTGTGGGCACATGTGCTGTTGCCAGATGTTTTCTGGTTTCCAGTGCGCATGTGTGCCAGCCAGATGGTATTCGCAAGTGTCGAAGCACCAGAAAATGGCCTGGAGAATGCCCCCCAAACAGGCTGTTTTTTGGCCTGAAAACCAGCCTGAAACCAGCCAAAAAACAGGCATGCGCACCAGCCAGCTAGTCTTTGGGTTTCTGGCACTCCAGCATGTGCACATGCATGCACATTTGGGCACTGAACTGTCCTAGAGCCAGAGGAAAAACGATAGCTTGCATGTTAATTTTTCTGGTCCATTTTCATAAATAACACAGTGGCAAACATACCTAATACTCCTTTTTCCTTTTTTTTCCCCTAACCCCCATGAGGCAAGCCGGATTGAGAGTATGTGACTAGTTCAAAGTTAAATAACTGGCTTTCATGTCTTAAGGCAGGACTGGAACTCAGCCTCTTGTTTTCACAGAAATGTAAATGTAAACTACCAGAATGCCATTTTATTTCTGAAAGCCATGTTACTGTATAAAGAACATGTCTGTGTAGTATACGCTCAGTTATTAGACCTTGTATTTGATATAAACAAGAAAATGGTCCAGTATCATGGCTATTTAATTATACAGTATAATGCCCAATTTTACATCATAAATGAAGCAAATTCTTGGAACCAAACCTTGAGGCTAATGCCTAGTTTTTTCTGCTTGTTTTGTTGATTGCAATACAATGGTCCTGCTTTCTTTTCTCCATACTTAACAGATTTTATTCTCATATCTTATTCACTTGCCTCAAGTTGCGCCAAAAAACATCTTACATTCCTGTTAGTTGTGCTACATGGATTATTATACTACATGAATAAAATAAAATTCAAAATTAATGAAGCCAGATTAAGGTGAGGTACAGGAGCAGCCACAAAATAGAACCCCACATAATCCCATTTATTTGTTGAAGGGGTGTATTTTAAAAAAGCATATCTTCATATCATAATTTTTGTTTTGGTTGTTCAAAATAAACATAAACCACCAGAAAGGGAAGACAAGAAATGGTAACCAGGTAGTCTGGAAAATACTAGATGATTTGCCAGGCATAATACTCTTAGGTAAACTCCTTACATAAAAAGTAAAGACAATCTGAAATGTATTCTAATTGATGTAGAAGACAAAAGTTAAAAGGAAAGAAAAGTATGGTGAAAAAGATCTGTTTTCTTTTGTGCAGCAGTACCTTGTGCAAAACCATACATTTTCAGCCATCCTGCTTGGTTGAATGAGTCAATCAGAAGCATTGCCATTCTTACCTCTCCTGGAATTCATTCCACAATTAAGATGAAGAATGGAACCAAGCTAGGTAAAGATAGGACTCAAGTGAAACATGTACATTATGTCAATGTAATTATTTCTGGCAATTCTTGGTTTCAATAACAATAACAAAATAGCAAAGAGTGTTTTGTTGCAATAAATTAACAAACCAAACTTTTTATGGAATCCAGGAAGACTTCTACCTAGTAGCTCAGAGTTCAGAATTCCAGAGAATTACCAAGGTATTCAATGAAAGCAAAGACCCATAGGATAGGCTGAGGAATGGAAGAGTGGGAGAAAGGAGATAATAAAAAATCAGAAGTGCCCAATTTTTTCCAAATTGTAAAATACAATGATTAAGTTTTCTCCAGCTTTCAGCTTTGTGCATTTTATGTATTTTAATCATTTCCTAATTGTATTGCTTTTGAAGGGACTTTGGAGTTCAACTGCCTGCTCAAGCAATGCCATTTTAGTCAAATATCTCTCCAGTCTTTTTTGTAAATGTTTTTTTCTGTATTGTGATAACCAGAATTGGATGCAGTATTACTAGTGTGGTCTCACCAGTGCAGTATAAAGCAGTGCTATCACTTTATGTAGTCTTAAAATTATCCCTATTCATGTAGCCTAGGACTGTATTCGTTTTTTTGAGATGCAGAATAGTGCTGCTGGCACATATTTCAATTAGACAATGTTTTAGTAGTTTGGCTATGGATCTGTAAAATTTAAATTCAGAATTCCAGAGCTACAATACTTATGTCTCAAAATTAATTCATACTCACTTTTTAATTAAAAATAAAATGCAACTTTTAAGGGATCCAAATAACTCTTAAAAAGTACTAGTTAAGCATTTCTGAATTGTAATTATTTATACTTCAGAACCATTTTTCCCAACTGATAACACAGCAGATATTAAATCACTCATCTTTCTCAAAAATGTATTTTTCTTCAAATTTTTCAAAACAACTGCTTTAAATTTTTTGATGATGCATTATCAACAGGCTTATTTGTTATCAATTTGATATATCCACTATTACTAAAATTTCATGAGAAATGTCATGTCACAAACTTTAAAGATGCTTGCTTTGAGATTTCTAAGCAATAATACCAACAAATTTACATGCTAAATTTTGAGGTACACAACTTAATATAATTGCCCTTGTTGTATCAACCTATATCCTTTTAAGGCAGAATATATACTGCACATGGAAGTCACCACAGCAGAAAAAGCATGCACAATCAAGGAACCCCATAATCCCACACTGCCTCATTCATTACTAATCCTTTTAAAGAAATTAGATTTAAGATAATTTCAGTTAATAAAAAAGTTAAACTCCGCAATAGTCCAAAAAGGAAAAAAAATCAAATGCACAGGGTATTTTAATAAAAATATACTAACATTTCTTTAAAATTAAAATATATATAATTGGTGTTATTCTTTTACTGTTTGAGAAATAGTTTGGGGGCAGAATAACATTCTAGACAGACACATGAAGAGTTTATGTTTATTTGTCTACATTCAGCATAATCCAGGAACTGTCTGAATGACCCAGACATACAAACCCACTCTTTCCCACAAATTTAAAAATAAATCACTTATAAAACTGAAAAACACTAAAGCATTAAAATACAGAAAGCTTTTTAAAACTCACTTCACAAAAGCAGAAAACATCCCTTATCCATTTAAAGCAATCCTGTGTTAATACCTGAATTTAATTTAAACAAAAGAGGGATGTTGAACTCAAATTCTATTTAGACAAAAAAAAACTGAAATGGCAAACTAAACAAACCATTAAATACACCATTAAATGTCCAAAATACAGCTAATTATGGAATCACAATGTACTCAACCATTAGTGACTGATATCACAAAGAGCACTGCAACATGGAAACAGGGTTTACATGTTTACTGTGATGCAATAAAACTTAATATTCAAAGGTTATGCAAATTTAGGAAACAAAGATACAGACCCATCAAGAACAAACTAGTTTATCTATACTGATAGTTCATGCTGTGGTCATTTCTGCCATATCCAGCTTGTGGAGGTTGGTAGGAATTGGGAGGTCCACTGTAATTCTGATTTGAAGCTGGAGAATTGTAATTTGACTGAGAATATCCACCTAGAAAAATTGAAAGTTACCTTAATGCACTTCAAATGCTACTTGTTATACATTTCCAATTATTATGCATAAAAATATTTAGAACACAGAACTATACATAACAGGCATTTACATTGCAACATGGTAACAAAGCATCCCATTCCTCTTCCTTCCTTCTTTTCTAATGCCTAAAGCTGAAACTAAAACCTTTACTTTTATTCATTACACATTCACAGATTACATCCATTAGGAGTTAGGGAGATGCAGAGTGACCAAATAACAGTTGGCCATTCAGCCAATGCAACATTTATGGGAAAATTTTGTCTCACTAACACAAAAGTATTTTAAGTTTGCAAGTCTAACTTTATACTGACCTTGGTAAGATGATCCTCCTCCCCCAGCTCCTCCCCCATAGCCACTGGCATTGTAGGAGGCACCTCCTGAAACATAGCTGTTTGCACCACCTCCTCCACGTCCACCACCATAATCTGCAATCAAAGAATGCATATTAAGTCACCTATACAAACTACTTTGAACACATGATTGGCTGTCTCCACTTTTTATATATAAGATGTTCACCACTTCTCTGTGCAGTCCTGAAACATAGTAGCTGCAACAAAAAAATATTCTGCACCTAGATGACAGAAACTGCAATGCATGAATACTTTTCTATTATAAGTCTTCCTTGACCTATGGCTAGCATGAGGCCTAGAATTTCCATCATGACATGATGGTTTTATGTTGTGGTATCAAACTGATCCACCCGATTTAACATTTTGTGGTGGTTGTAAAGCAAATGCAGTAGTCATAAAACAAACATGGCAGGCATTAAGTTAACCCAATGTCTGCCTGGGCAGATTTTTATTTTTTGCAGAAACAGCGAATACTGGTTAACAGCAAAAAAAATAAAAAAATAAAAAATTGCTGTCATGTGACTGTAAAATGCTGCAAACAGCCATAAAATGTGATCATGTGACTGCACAGAGGGCCCCTCATTGGAAGTTGAAATCTGGGCCATAAGTACCTTGTGGGTGTCTGTCATAAGTCAAGAACTACTTCTATTCTGTTCAAGTTTACTTCACAATGGTCATTTTCTGCCTTTCTCCAAATGGTGCTATCTAGATTTTGTTTATTCCAATTTTGAAATTCAAGGGTGAACTAAACTGAGGAAGGCTATCACATTGCCACATTTAAGTTCAATTTGTCAAGTTGTTTAAAATAAACTTTCAAAATATTATTCTAAATCACTTCATCTAGTTCTCAGCTCAGTATCTGCATTTCACAAGTTTAAATTGCTCTTTATCTGATCATTGCATTAGATAACTTTCAACAATTACAGGTAGTCCTCTACTTTACAAGTTTGTTTAGTGACTGATCAAAGTTACAATAGCATTAAAAAAGTGACTTCACCATTTTTCACACTTATGACTGTTGCAGTAGCCCCATGGTCATGTGATCAAAATTCAAATGCTTGGCAATTGGCTCATATTTACGATGGTAACAGTTAAATGGGAAAGCCAGATTTAGTTAACAACCATGTTACTAACTTAACAAGTGCAGTGATTCACTCAACTAATGTGGCAAGAAAGATCGTAAGACGGCAAAATTCACTTAACAAATGCCTCACAAACAAAAATTTAGTGCTCAATTTCCCTGAAGCATGGGGAAAACCTTAAGACCTACCCTGAAAATAAACCCTACCCCCAAAATAAGTCCTAGTTAAAGTGAGGCGGGGGTGGCCAACACAGGAGCTGCCAGTGTCCAGCAGCAGCCACAGCCTGCACAGCACAGTTGATTACCTGTCCAAAAAGGAGGCAGATCTGGAAACACCACGCAGGCTGCAGGAAAGCCAAGTTTGTGGTCCAGTCATGGGAGGCTTATCTTCGTCTCTCGGGTTGCCTGTAGCCTGCGTGGCATGTGCCTTCCACCCATCACCTGTGCTACCACACAGACAACCCTCCCACAGCTGACCACCTGCTCTGGCCCATCAACTCTTAGCCTTCCCATGGTCCGTATTGCGCGTCCAGATTGTGTGCCTCCACCTGCTGCTTGGACAGGGAATCAACTCACCTGCACTGCATGGGCTGTGAGCTGCAGGCGGATGGGTCAGCTGATCACCCTGAAATTGTGCTTCCACAAAAATAAGCCCTGGTGCTTATTTTGGACCTCTCTCCCAAAATGTAAGACCAGGTTTTTGGGGAAACACGGTAGCGATGCTTAAGCCAGTTCTTTTTGAACTATTCCCATCTTTTCTGTCTTTATATCATGGCTTTAAGCATATTTATTTGGCATAAGTACTTTATTGTCACTGCACCTCATACAATGAAATTAAATGCAATCTTCAGTGGACATTACACATAAGAAAACTATATAAAAAATAAACACCCATCCGTATAAACCAGAAGGAAGGTTATGAATATTTCTCAACTCCCACCCTACCACCCACAAGAAACTCACTGAATTTACTTTCATAATTGTAGTCTGATCCTCCACCACTGCCACCAGGAGAGTTGTAGGAATTTGAGTAAGAAGCATAGTTGCCTTGGTTATAGCCCTTCTGCTTGCCTTGTGGCGGACCATAATTGCCATATTGATTTTGGTTATATGATTGTTGCTGTTGGCCTTGATGGGACTGATACCCTGAGCCATAAGAAGGTTTCTGCTGTCCACCATGTTGTTGTTTTTTCCCAACATGCTTAGGAGGAGCAGGCGCGTTGTAGTCACCACCTTGATAATAGGAACCATAGCCAGAGGAACCACCTCCTCCTCCTGTATTGCCCGAATGGCCACCATTACTGTAAAACTGGCCTAAAGAGAAGAGAGCAAGGTCAACCACTATGAAGGCAATATACCATATTCATAAATATGAGTGTGAAATTGTTCTGAACTATCTCTTCTTAATCAGAGCGTTAGTCTGTCTTCAAAACAAACAAACAAAAAAAAACTATCTGCCAAATGAAATGTCCTAATTCCTGTCAACAATTATAAGGACCAAATACAGTATATAGTTCTGCCATGAAGTGTACACTGTGTGCACTATTAGGCAAGGTTTTTGGGGGCTTACTTTTCTTATTGAACAACTACAGTACTCTCAGTAACTCCAAAATATTAATAAACCTCAAACTTGAATGTTTCAGAAAGTGAGGTTTTGGCTTTCATAGGGGAATATCTATGTGTGCACAGTTATTGGGCAACTATTAGTGTGCAGATTATGCAACTAAATGAAAATTGTTCCCTCACACTTGTTTATTTTCATCTGTTAAAGTTAGAATAATAAAGGAACAACTCAAAAAGTTACAAATAAACATTTCTGACATTAAAAATCAGTGACCAATAGTCACCCTTCTTTTCAATAACAGTCATAAGCCTTCCATCCATGGAGTCTGTCAGTTTCTTGATGATGATCAACTGTTTGTGCAGCAGCAACTACAGCCTCCCAGACACTGTTGAGAGGTGTACTATTTGCCTTCACCGTAAATCTCCCATTTAAAAAGGGCCCACAAGTTCTCAATAGGTCAGGTGAAGAAGGGGCTGTGTCATTATTGTTTCATCTTTAAGGCCTTTACTGGCTAGCCATGCAGCGGAGTACTTTGATGCACGCAATGGAGCAGTCCTGCATAAAAATCATGGTCTTCTTGAAAAGATGCAGACTTCCTGTACTACTGCTTGAAGTGTCTTCTAAAATCTGGCAGTAAGTTTGGGAATTGATGATCCAACTAGCGTACCTTTAATAATACCAACCCATACCATCATCCCATCTCCACCTTGTTGGTGTCTGAGTCAAAGTGCAGCTGTGCCCATTACTAATCCAGCCACAGGCCCATCCCATCTGGTCTGTCAAGAGTCACTCTCATCTCATCAGTTCATAGAACCTTTGAAAAATATGTCTTCAGATATTTCTTGGCCCAGTCTTGCCATTTCAACTTAGGTGTCTTATTCAGCAGTGGATAGGTTTCACCCTTCCTTATCTTGGCCATGTCTCTCAGCACTGAACACCTTGTACTTCTGGGCACTCCAGGTAGGTTGCAGTTCTGGAGTATAACAGCACTGGAGGATAACTGGTAGCTTCACATTTGATTCTTCTCAAATCTTTGGCAGTTAATGTGCATCTTTTGTTTTCAACACATTTCTTGCGAACACTGTTGACTATTTTCAACAAACTGTTTGATGGTTCTGTAATCATACCCCAATATCTTAAACAATTTTGAGAGTGCTGCATCCCTCTGAAAGACTACAATTTTTGAGACTCAGTTAAATCTCTTTTTTGGTCCATTTTGCCTGAGAAAAGAAGTTGCCTAATAATTATGCACATCTTAGTATAGGGTGTTGATCTCCTTAGGCCACACCCTCCTTCATTACACAAATAAACATCATCTGATATTATATCTAATAAGCATTCAAGTTTATACAGCTTGGAGGTGGAAAATATACATTAAAATGATAGTCAAAATATTTGCCTAATAATTATGCACACAGAGTATTACATTACATTAATTAGTCCCACCATGTTGAGCTGCATGTAATTCAAAACAATCTAATATAGCATTTTGCACAATGTCAATCTTCTGTAAATAACAATTTCCCACATTGAATTAAAAATACTCCAAAGGTTAGATTAAATATTTCAGTTGGTGGCATAATGTAAAATAGAGATGGTGACAGCTGAAAACAAAATCAAAGTACTTACAACAATGTGCACAGTATATATACTTTGCACAAAATGTTCCCTGCATGGCACAGGCAGAAACACATGCATTCTTGGTGTGTGGCAAAAGCAGAAGCAAAGTCAAAGCCACTAATGGGAAGTAATACACAAGGAGAAATGTACGAAAGTAACAGGAAGGAATGAACAGAAAGATTGGCAAGGTAGGCTTAGAGCACAAGCTATACATAGGAAAGGACTTGGTGTGCCAGCCTTTCCCATAAGATCCTGCTAGATCAGGGGTGCCAAATTGGTGGCCCAGGTGTGTCACGTGCAGGCCACGCCCACATCTGCAAATGGAAAAAAATGTCACGTGACAGCAACATGATGCGGCGAGATTGAGACCCGTGCTCTAGCTTGTGCCCTGATCAAAACCTGAAAAAATAAGTCATTATTTCTGAGCCATTAAATGCTCATTTTGTCCATGGGAAAAAAATCATTTAATGTATAGGGCTATTAATTTTAAAGTATTTGGCTCTCCACTTAGAATTCAATTTGAAGTTTATGTCTCAAGTCATCTACAACCAGTATTTTTTTTGTTAAAGGAACACAAGATACTACATCAGTTCTGATACATCATTAGCATACAAGTTACCAATTATTATGCTTTATAAAAACATAAAGCTACATGCTTATAATGTGAAAAAAGTTGTAAGTGAACTCACAGTTGTGGTTCAGCAAGAGGTCATGTACAAAGAAACATAAACCTGGTTACTTGGAGTAATTTTACTTCTTAATCCAAATTATTCCTAAAACATTCAGAACTGCTTCTTCCAGAATAACAGCATTTAAGAATGAATTTTTTACTTAGTTTTACCAAATGTCATTTTTATGTTTAGAGCCTTTATCCAAATTCATATCTCCCCTGTACTTTCACTTATTTCATTAATTACTAATTTAGTAGGTTTAACATTGCTCCTAAGGCAACAATCAGACTAAATACATTTAATATGAGTACTAAAGAGAACCAAGCAATCCATTTATTAAAAATCTTAATATCTAGTTTACTCCCTGTGCCTTTCAATGTTCAGTAGTTTTTATGTCTTGTGATACTACATTTATCTTCTAGGGGACATGTACTGGAGAACAAGAAAAAAAGTGTCACATCCTATAAGAACTGCAACAAACCCACTGAAGTTAACCAAACCATTGAAATTTTAAATAATACAAGTATAACTCGGACTATATGTCCTGCATTGTTATATTAATGCAAGAAACCAATGGATGTAGAGATTAAAATCAGCACATATAAATCAATAATATGCATGCTCAAAATTTAGGCTGTTGTTTCAGAATTATTAAAAAGGAATTTTGCCTTATTACAAGCATTTACCCACTTTGGGGGGCTAAAATTTGTACAAAATCTCTTGAAAATTTAAGACAAAAAGGTAGCATATTTTTGCAAGTTCTGTAAAAGTAAAATGCTTTCCATAAAAAGCAAACAAAGGCCTTTTGCTTGTAAGCAGAACAGAGTTGGCTTATTGTGCACAATGCACAAAGACATTTCTTGAACTTTTGCCACCTAATAGTGTACATCCATATGATCAAAGGCAAGTCACAATTAAAACTGCCACTGTTTGTAGGCTAAGTTTCAGAAAGCTGCGGTGAAAAGCCACTGTTGAGAAACCCAGTGAAGCACAGAGACACAGCACGAACACATTGGTTTTGGAGTTCGAGAAAATTGGAGTAAAAAGTTGTTTTATGTGCAATACTTTTAGATGATCTAGGAAGACCCAAAATCATGATAGCCGTAGCAGTCTGTGAAAAAGTCACCTACAAAAGGGGGAGACAGAGCAGAGGAAAAAAAATTAGAATTTTTGAAGATGGCAAAATGTGCCACATTTTTAAAAATTAGTTTTTATTTCTCTGCTCCCGTCATCCCCACTCCCCATCAAAGGCCTTTCAAAGCAAAATTGTGTATTTTAGGGAAAACTGTTTTACAAAAATGATGTATTGCTTCACTTGGCTTAAAGCAGAGAAATTTAAAATCAACTTTAAAGAGTATTTGATCATTTCATTATGCAAAATAGTACTGAGTTTGTTATCCCAGAGTGTTGTCTCTCATTAAACACTTACTATAGCCTGCTGTTGCAGAGTTGCCACCATAGCCATAACTTCCATATCCAGCTCCTAGAAAAATACCGAAAACATTATACAGTACAATTGGAAATATGTTTTTTTAATTTACATTTATTTTATTCCATCTTTCATTTCAAAAGTGTTGACTGAGTACATATGTCTTGTGCTAACAATCATAATTAACTTTCTTACCAATATAACAATAATCACATTTTCTTATAACTATTATTTAATATACCTATTTTTATTATTTTAAAAATCTTAAGTTAGTTCTCTATATATTCATCTAGTCCATTTAATTTTTTTTTATTTTCCAACCATTGATAAAATGCCATACCATATAATATTCCATTTCTTCTTTTTCTTTGATTGCCAATGTTAACCTATTCATCTCTGTAGATTCAAATATTTTCTTGATTACTTTTCCCTCTACAGGTATCTTATTACTTTTCCAATTCGGAGCAAATACAATTCTAGCTGCTGTTAATACATGCATAATAAAAATATGTTTTTTCTTTAGGTACCATTCTTAATAAAAATATCTCAGGTTTCAAATCTATGTGTTCCTTTATCATTTTTTCCAACAATGTGTGAATTTTTGTCCAGTATCTTTTAGCTTCTGTACAAAACCACCACACATAGTAAAATGCCCCAGGTGTCTGGTGGCACTTCCAGCATTTGGCTGATTTATCTTTGAACATCTTAGCTAGTTTTGCTGGTGCAAAGTGCCATTTATAAAACATCTTATACAAGTTTTCTTCACATGCTGTCAATATTGTTAATTTAGAATTCCTTTCCCATAGCTTCTGCCATTTGTCTAATTCTATAGTATATCCAAAACCCATGTTACCATTGTTTCCTTACCTTGCTCTACTTCTAATTAACATCAAATAAATAGCAATACAATTTTTTGATCAACTTATTCCTGTTAGTATTTTACCCAACTCTGTCAACTCCTTATGAATCCCTTCAGCTTTAATATTTTTTTTGTATCTTGATTGTATTTGTGTGTATGAATACCATTTCAAGCCCTTGTTCATTCATTTCTTGTTTTGTTTTGAGCTCACCCTTTCATTTGAAATATCTTTGCAATGGTTCCCATTTTACAAATATTTGGGTGTATAAGTGTTTTCATTGTCGACAGCCAGACTGGAATCTTCATATAATGGTGTTCTCTAGTTTTTTCCCATGCATTCAATTGGAAGTATGTTAAATGAATTGAGGTTTTATGCTTGCACAATATCTAAATATTGACACACATAAAGTGGATTGTAGAGAACCTACTCTAGCCATTAATTCCCAAACCCAGCAACATTTCACCCACCCCACGGAGTAGCCAAATTTCAAACATTACAAATAGAATAAGCTCAAACTTAAGATATGTTAGAACATTACAAAGGTAAATTAAGTTGCATAAGGCAACATAATATTGTTTCTAAATGTCATAGTGGTAAATAAAACTAATAAAACTAAGAGACAAATTAGAAATAATTTAAGAATAACTCTGGATACACTGGAATATTATGAAAAGCATAATGAAAAACAACTAGGCACCTGGATGCCCCAAAAGCATTTGATAATATCAACTGGCAATTCATGCTGCAACAATTAAAATGTATGGACTTTGGCGGAAAATATACACACACGATAAAAGCAATTTATACATAACAGAAAGCTAAGAATATGGTGAATGGAGATGTGACAGAAAGCTTCAATATAAAAAAGGGAACGAGATAAGGCTGTCCGCTATGTTCTTTATTCTCCGTTAGACTGCTGCGAGAGTCCAGGTTAGGGAAAACTCAGCCTCCTTCATCTTGTGACTGAGTCTACCAAGCTGTTTAGCCCTGCCTCCGTTGCCACCACTACCCAGCTTTTGACTCAGTCCCCTCATCGGAGCTGGTCATGTCTTCACTCTTTCTAGAACATAGCAAGCAGATCAACTTTAATTCAAACTCTGGCTGTTTTAATTGGCACTGGGCTTTAAATCCTGCTCCCGGGGACCCGGTAGAGCAGTGGTTCCCAACCTTTTTTTTGCCCCGCACCCCTAAAGAAATTTCACTCGACCCTCGCACCCCCTGAAATTTAGACTTTAGGAACTACTGAACGCATTAAATATCTGGTAGGATTGAATCTTTTCAGCTATGTATGTGACGGCCACTAAATAACGATACTTAACTCTAAAATGAAAACAAAGTTAATCCATTGCATAATAAAAATGCCAACATATAGCCAATATCCTATTATTTACCTGGACTTTTCTCGTACCCCCCTGAAATATCATCTTGCACCCCCAGGGGGTGCGAGCACCCCAGGTTGGGAACCCCTGCGGTAGAGCAAGTGCAACATCGCAAGGGGTTGGGTAGGGATCTTCCTTCCCCAGGAGTGATTCCAGGGCTGGAGTTTTATCTTTCGGCGCTGAGGAGTTCGTAAGTGATCCTGGCGGGCCATGATTAAGGGTAATTCCCAAATATAATGGCACTAGCTATCCCACACTGCCAGAAAGTCTCTGCAGCCTAGAGCCAAATAGCTGGCTGTTTAGGTGGCGAATGGCGTATACCGGTCTGCCATCCTTCGTAAAGGGCTGCATTTAAGGCCTCACAGCAGTATGGTTCTGCTCGCCTAGCCATATTCGGGGGAGACGAAGATAAGATGGCAGCAGCTACCTTCGATCTGTTCCCTTGACCTAGATGTTTAAAATGGAGGGCACCAGAGACCTGTCTGTAGAAGCAGGTCGTGAAGAGGCCCTTTCCCCTGCTGTAGTGCAAACCTCATCAGGGACCAAGAGAAGGGCCAAGGCTGAATCATCTGCTCAGGAGGCAGCAGCCAAAATTAAAGCCGTTGCTAAGAAGAAAAAGACCAAGGCCGAAGAAAAAGTGGAAAGACGGCATGAGGCCAGGAAAGGCAGTTTTCCTGGAACAAAGAAAAGGGCGGGGCCAACTGTCTCCCCATCCAACTGTTGCCAGGGCAGATTCAAATATAGCTACTTTCCAACTGCCACAGGCTTGGTCTCCAGATGGGGCTGGTGAGCTTAGTTCCTCCCTGCCACATCATCTAAGCAGAACTAGCTCTAGCAATAGACCTGTTGCTTGGATAGAAACTGCTTCTGACTGGAATCAGCCAAGAATCTGGCAAAATCCTCCAGTTGAGGCCACTTTTACCCCAACGGCTGCTGGCCTTCGCCCTGTGGTTTACGCAGGAGCAGATATCCCAGATCATATGAGAAATGTGGTCTCTGTCGCTATTAGGCAAGGGATTGTTGATAGCATTCAACAGATCTTGGGCCCTGCTGGTTTAGGACCTGGACTATTAAGAGCCCCTGTACAAGCCTTCCCACAGGATGGAATTCCACTGGGGAGGACTGAATTTGATAGAAACTCCATGCAGGCCCTCACACCATTCCCACAGCAAATTGCTGGGATACCAGGAGGTGTGTTCTATAGACCAATCAGAACACTGTCATTCCTTTGATTCGGAAGAGGAAGTCAGGGATTCTAATTTGTCAGAAGATGAAGACATTAAACCTGAACAACCAGTGTTTACATGTTTATTTAAATCTTCCTTGTCCCTTTTATACAAGGCCAAGACAATAGCCATCTCGCCCCAGATGAGGCTATGGTAGAGCCTTTCACAGAAGTGCAGCCCCAGGAAGATTCCTTTTTTCTGCAGCCTACTGTCCAAACAGAGGTATTACCATCGCCCAAACTCTTTCTTGATGTGGTGCTTAAACAATGCACCTCTCCTGGCACTGGTCCTAACCCTAATACCAATGACAAGAGATTTTATAATGTGGGCCTGGAGTTGGCCAAGGCCTTGCAACTGCCCACGGTGGATTCCCCTGTGACTAGCTCAAGCATCAACTTCGGGGACTCCTAAAGAGCCAGAGGATGTGCTGAAAGGGGATGACAAGTGGTCTGAGCAGGCCCTGCAAAAGCCTTATCAGGCAGCTGCCTGGACTGTCCAGGTCTCAACAGTGGTCTTGTTCTTCATGCAAGCTGGCTAAGACAATGCTAGACTGCATACTGGCAGAGGACATTAGAGCACATCAATATTTGAATAAAATCATTGCTGTCACTGAGTTTACAGCAGATGCAACACTTAATTTGGCTAAGTTTGCTACCAAAGGTATGGCGTCCTCAGTGACAGCGCAGAGATTGTTATGGCTCTGCAACTAGCAGGTGGACTCTAGGAGGAAATGGAAAGTAGCTTCAGCCCCACTAGAGAGGGACAAGTTATTCGGAGATTCACTGGAGCCCTTTCTGCTGGAGATCAGGGACAAGAGGAAGATAATTCCTTCCATCTTCAAAAGGTCTGAGACGAGGCAATCTCCATACTTCTGTCCCTCTTCTTTTCGCCTAGGTTCTGTTTCAGAGGGTCTTTCCAGCCCGCAAGAGCAACAGCCGGAGTGTTCAAGTAGACAACTACCACCATCCCAAAGCAACCAGCCCTTTCGAGGCAGAGGGGGTCATCCTTTCCAATGTTCCAAGTGACTGCATGTCTAACTCCCCCCCCCCAATCAGAGTCCATCTTTGCTTCTCAATGGGAGAATATAACATCTGACGCCTGGGTTTTGCACACTATGAGGTCAGGACTTCGTCTTGAATTCCTCTCCTCTGAGGTTCTTTATTCGCTGTCCCGTTTCTCAGAATAATGCTAGGAGGGTCCTCATGGAAACCGCCATTCAACACTTAGTGGATATCCAAGTTATCCAGGTGGCACCAGAGGATCAGCAAGGGGAGGGATTCTATTCCGTTATTTGTCATCCCAAAGACCTCAGGGGGTTGGAGAGCAATCCTGGACCTCAAATATCTTAACAACTATATCCTTTACCGGCCTTCCAAAATGTAGTTGCTCCAGACCATCCTAGGAGGGAGATTTCCTCACATCAATAGATCTGATGGAGGCTTACCTCCAAGTGCCAATTTTGGCCTTAACATCGCAAATCTCTGTTTCCATTACAACAGACAGCATTACCTGTATTGGGCCCTACCATTCGAGCTTTCTTCAGCCCCCAGGGTACTTACCAAAATACTGGCTGCCCTTGCGGCTTGGCTTATTTACGAGCTCTGCTAGTGAGAGTTCATTGTTATCTGGACGATATATTGATACAATTGTCCTCAAACCTCACTGCCAGGAGAGACCTTCAAATTATTTTACAGGTGCTGCAGTCGTATGGATTTTCAATAAGTATTAAGAAGAGCCATCTGCTTCCAATCACCCGTCTTCTCCACCTGGGGGTGGTCATAGACATAGTTTCCTGCAAAGTCTTCCTGTCTCCAGAGTGACAAGTGCTTGTAGTCCTTAGTGAAGCAGATTCAGCAGCAATGCACAGTGCCTGTCTCTACTGTCTCAGCTCCTGGGCAAGACAGTATCTTGTATATCCAACGTCCCATGGGCTCGACTCCATGCCCAGTCATTACAGTGGTTTCTCCTGCCCAATCAGAGGTCAGGGAGGAGTCATTCATCGATCAAGGTCTTGGTTCCAAAATCGGTTCTCTGATGTTTCTGGTGGTGGTAGTCCCCAGCCAAATCAAATATTAGATCAAATATTAAAGGCGCCCAGCTGCAGGGTTATCACCACAGATGCCAGCCTTTATGGTTGGGGAGTGTGTCTGCAATCAGAAATGGCTCAAGGTCGGTGGTCTCAGCTGTACAGCACTTGACCAATCAATTGACTGGAGTTCAGGCCATTCACCTGGCCCTCAGGCAGTTTTGGGACAAAATAGCAGGGACTCATGTCCTTATATTGATGGACAATGTGGCCGCCAAGGCACACATCAACTGTCAAGGGGGAACCAGATCCAAGAATCTTATGCAGGAGGCACAGAAGTTAGGCTTCTGGGTGGAGAGGCACCTGCTGTCCCTCAGGGCGGAACACAATTCGGGGGCAACAATGTACAAGCCAACTGGCTCAGGAGAGCCAAAATAGACCACTCAGAATCTCTATCCGGATTTATTCAGAGAGATGACGGAGATTTTCGGAACACCGGCCATAGACTTGTTTGCCTCTCCAGTCAACGCCCAACTGCCCAGGTACTTCACCAGGTTCGCCACACTGGGGGTGGAGGGTATCAAATGCCCTTCAGAGCCAGCAGCCATGGGGTCTCATGTACACCTTTCTGCCTCTTCCTCTCATTCCAGCTGTAATCAGGAAGATGTCAGAAAGGGAGATTTTACTCCTGGGCCCTCCCATTGGCTCAGGCATCCCTGGTTCATGGATTTGGTGAACCTATTGGTGGCTTGACCTTGGAGGATCCCCCTTCCAAGATTTCCCTCAGCCAGCTTCATCTGAAGCGCCAATGGCTCCAGCTGGCCATTGGGCAATTGAGTGGGAATCCTTAGTCAAGGACAGTTTCTCTTCTAAGATAATTGCAACGATCCAGGCATCTAGGAAAGTATCAACTAATCGCATATATGATGCCACTTGGGAGGACTTTTTGCCTCTGGTGTACTAAGACTCGTACGGCCACTTTGGCTTCTATAAGCAATGTTCTAGAATTCCTCCAGGACGGACTGGACAGAGGGCTCTCACCCAACACTTCGCAGACAGATGGCAGCTTTGTCTTCAGTCTTATCAGCGGGTACATTGGAGTTTCTCTCCCACCATCCCTTGGTTCGTAGGTTCCTCAAAGGAGCTACGAACCTGCATATCTATGGCCTACAAGACTCGGGGTCTCCCTGTGCTCAGTAGACTTACCACTCACTCAACAAGGAGTGCAGCCACAACTGCAGGCTTCTATAGAGGAAATATGCTGGGCTGTCACTTGGTCATTGCCTTCCCCATTTATCTGTCATTACCATCTGGGCACTTTCGCTTCTGTGGATGCAGTCTTTGGCAAGATGAATGCTCCAGAGGGTTGTCTCAGAGCAGACAAGACTTGGACCCAACCTAACCCTCCCAGGGACATGCCGGCTTTGGTAGGTCCCTAACATGGACTCTCGCAGCAGTCTAATTGAGAAAGGGTCATGCTCATTCTCATTGGACTGCAAGAGAGTCCAGCCCCACCATAAGGTCTGGTAGCTTGGGGGGGGGGGGGGGCTATCTTATTTTTTTCAGAAGATACGACACATCTGTCAAGATCCCTTCGCTGAAAGCTGGGTAACCAGGGCAATGGAGGCAGGGCTAAACAGCTTGGCAGACTCAGTCACAAGACAAAGGAGGCTGGGTTTTCCCTTTCCCTCGCAGTCCAACGAGAATGGGGTCTCAGGTAAGCCAACACCTTTATTTATTTTAACTTTAGATGTGTTAACTAGACATATTAGACAGGACCCAGAAATAAAAGGAATGGAAATTTAAAAAAAAAATATATAAATTGCAAGCCTTTGCTGATGATCTAGTTTTTATATTAGAAGAACCAACAGAATCAGGTCCAAAATTGATGAGAAAAACTGGGAAATACGGAGGTGGCAGTGATGAAAATAAAGGAAAAAACTAAGGTAATAATTAAGAATCTTATGGAAAAAAAAAAGGAACTGACAGAGGAAAAATAGGATTGCAGATAGTAAAGAAAGTCAGATATTTAGGCATCCAATAGCAAGGTGTGCAATGATAAAAGAGAACAATTATGTAAAACTAATGCAGCAAATTAAATTAGACTTAGAAAGATTGACGAACATTCAATTATCTGATAGGGAGAATAGCCGCCGTGAAAATGAATATACTGCCAAAATTGCTTTTCCTATTTTTCAAACAATATCAGTAAGAGTAGAGAAGATATTTTTTGATGATTTAAACAGAACAATTCTGAAATACACATGGCAAGGTAAAAAAGCCAGAATAAAGTTAAAAATGCTGCAGGAAGCTAAAAGTAATGGAGGTTTTGGACTCCCAGACTGGGAACTTTACTATCGGGTGTCAGCTTTGGCATGGATAAAAGAATGGGTGAATCTGAAACATAGGCTAGTACTATTAGATCTTCAGCTAGGCTGGCATGCTTGCCTATGGTATGGCAGGAGTATGGCACACAGATACTTTCAAGGTCACTATGTAAGAAATACACTACTTAATGTATGGAAAAAATTAAAACACATTATGTAATATTCTCTAAGCCCCTTGAGTCGTCATGGGTGAATAGACAGCAATACAAATTAAATAAATAAATAAATAAAATGAAAATTCCAGTCTGGCTCTCCACCACAAACCTTATATCCAAACCTTATACCAAACCTTATCAACTTTGAAAAAATTTTATTCTATAAAGATATTTTGAATAAAGATGGTAAATTAAAAACTAAACAACAATTACAGAGTCAAGGGGTGGATTTAGATTTGTGGTCACTCCAGATACAAACAAGATATGAGAATGATGTTAAAACATGGAATCTAAATAAAGAACCAACAGCTCTAGATAAAATACTAAGATGAAAAACTGATTAAAAAATCATATAATTCATTGATTACAAAATGGAGAAGGAACAAATCAAAGAAACCATGATTGTTTGGGCAAAAAAATTCGGTTATAATATAGAATTAGAGAGGTGGCAAAAACTATGGGATAGGAATTATTAACTGACAATGGCTTTGGCATATAAAGAAAATTTATACAAAATGTTTTATAGGTGGCATCTACCACCGGCAAGATTGGCAAAAATGTTCTATAACTTGTCTGCAAAATGCTGGAAATGTAATCATAACCAAAGAACTTACTACCACATGTGATGGACTTGCACCAAAGCAAAACAATATTGGGAGAAAATAGAGCTGGCTGGAAAAGATAATTAAACAGAAGACAGATTGGAAACCAGAAGTGTATTTGCTGGGCATAATCCCAGAGTGTTATGTTAAAGGATCTGCATTTAATTTTACATATACTGACAGCAGCAAGGATTAGCTATGCAAAATTCTGGGAAAATGAGAATACCCCACCAGACAAGGAGATAATTAGGAAAATTTTAGAATGTGCTGAGATGGACAAATTAACCTTAAAAATAAAAAAAGGCTCAAAATACTACTTGATATGGAATAAATTCTATGACTGGTTAAAGACAAAGGGTAGAAGTGAGAGAAAGAAAACAATGAATGTTTTTTATTAAAAAGAGATGGTAACAATATTATATAATATTATAAGTATCCTTATTAAAAAATGGGACAATATTTTTATAGTACTAGCTATGGTTCTTATTCTTGTAAATAACAGACTCTGACAAAATGCTGTATTCTAAAATGTTTATGTATAAAAATTAAAATAAAAAAGTAATGCAACTCACCAGCATTCATATAACCTCCATGATTGGCTCCACCAAATCCACCTCTGCCCCGTCCCCGTCCCCGTATATTTCCTCCTCTGCCCCGGCCCCGCATGCTTGGAGGAGGAGGTACTTCAGCATGCATAAGTCCTGCCATACCATAGCCTGGATTATGCTGTTGAAATTAGAAAAATATGAGTGTTTATTCCTGGCTCTGGCCACATAAAAGCATCTGAAAACTGCATATTCAAATGTGCTTTAAAATATCTATCAAACTTTTAAGCCTCAGTTTTTAAAGAAATGCATGGATTATTTCTGATATAATCATAAACTGTAGTGCATATGCCTACCTTTACAGGAAATTTGGGTCCACCTCGTGCTGGCATAGGGGCTCTTTTCTTCTTCTGCTCCATTGGAACAGGTGCATCTGGAAAAAGCTTTTCTAATGCAGCCAGTGCAGCATAAGCTTTTGCCACCTTTTTATTTGAACCAGCTCCTTGGAACTTCTGGCCATCAACCTCAACCTTTGAAATGAGAAATGATTTCAGGAACAGAACTGCAACTTCGACAAAATATAACAGCAATTATGAATAGTTTTGTGGTCCAAGTCATCTCACCTCCATCACAAATCGTTTGTCATGACTGCCACCAGTTTCTGAAATCAGCTCATACTTTAAGCCACGTCGTTTTTCATTGAGTTCCATAACTGGATTTTTTCCATGCTTGGTCAGTATTGGTCCCTGCTGTTTCACATTCTAAGTAAAAACATCACAATAAAAATGTCTGATTAAATGTTAAAAGCACTAATATTTCCTCCAATATTTCAAAACTATAACTTACAAGTTAAAGAAAGGTAAGCGCCCACCAATTCCATTATTCTGGCCCTAAATTTATAAAGTATCTAAATAAGCCAGCACAGATCTATTGGCTTTTTAGCCAGTTTGTTAGAAATATCCTCAATGCATGGCAGCATGCTCTGGACAGAAGCTAACATAGACATAGATCACTAAGATTTGCATGTAGTTGTACAGTACAGTGGAACCTCGGGTCGCGAATGCTTCTGTTCGGGACCAAATTGGGTGACGACCAGAATTTTCAGAAGTTTTGCTTCTGGTTGTGAACAGATCTTCAGGTGGCAACCAAGCAACCCCCTAAAAATTGCTGTGGTGATTTTCCCTTTGGCGCCATTTTGTTTTTTTTGGTCCGTGCATGTGCAGATGGTCGTGTTTCTGGTCATGACCAAATCAGGTTGCAACTGTACTCCTGGAACGGATTACAGTCGCGACCTGAGGTTCCACTGTATCATAAGAGCACAGTGATAACATAGTTTAGCAATTATTTCCTTAAGCAGACCATAGAATATAACACAGAAAGTTTTCTAGAAAATGTGATTCTATGAGGAACACCCTCAGAAGTGTTTTAGTGATAGGAGAACTAAGTAGAATGAAGCAAAGCACACAAAAAATAATAATTTTAAAATTTATAAAATGAAATCCAAACAGAACACTTAGATATGAAGCACCTAAGAACATAGTAAGTCATGTTCACCTCTGTTTGCTCTGAAGGAGAAGCAGCACTAGGAGTACAAATAATTTCCACTACAGGAGGAACAGCAACTGCAACTGGTTTCTGATCAGTTTCTTCTGCTGATTCATCACCTCTCTCTTTGCCTTCCACACCTGTAGGCAGTCCCATGTCTTGCAGAACCTAAAACAAGAAATTAGCTATAATTGTTCTAGTCTATTGTACAACTTATCAGCGTTAAACAATCTTATTGCCTATCCTGAAGGAACAATCCACACTCACTTACAAACAGAAGCGATCCATCTTTCATCTGTTGGCTGTTCAGCTCTTGACTTTAAGAGGCTGTGTTTAGTCTCTACATGGCAAAGCCAGATAATGAAGGGAGCAAATAAAAAAGTCTGATTTCATTTATATTTAAATTTTATTGAAAGTAAATTAGGGGTATAGGGCCATGGCCCATTCAGAGCCAAACTGCGGAAATGGATAGCAACTGCACATGTGCAGCTCCACTTGCGCGAGCAGCAGGCAAGTGCACGTTTGTGAAGCTCCATTTGTACAAGCCTGCTGCTCATGCAAATGGAGCTGCAGTCGTGAGAACCATCCCCTTTCTCCCCCTCCCCGATCCACAGCCAGAAAGGATGGCGACCGCTGAATTAAATTATTAATATACAGCTACACCTCGACTTACAATTGAGCCCAAAATTTTGGTTGAATTTTACCCCATTTTCAACCTTTATTGCCACAGTTGTTAAGTGAATCATTACAGATGTTAAGTTAGCAACACAGTTAAGTGAATTTAGCCTCCCCACTGACTGCCAAAAGGTCACAAAAGGTGATCACATTGCCCCTGGACAATGCACTGTCATAAATATGAGTCAATTGCCAAGCATCTGAATTTTGATCATGTGAGCCAGGGAATGTTGCAACTGTCTTGTGAAAAATAGTCATAAGCCACTTTTTTCAGTGATGTAACTTCAAGCAGTCACTAATTGAACTGTTGAAAGTCGAGGACTGCCTGTAATCACTTCCAATAAAATTGAATAGCAAAAGTTATAGGGATTCTAAAAAGTCTCCTTTTACAGAATTGCCTCCCACCAACAGGCAAGACTTAAATTGTTAAGTTTGTTAATTCAGCTAATGCCAAATCATAATAAACACAAACATATACTAGATACAAAGACGCACACAAAAACACATTTTAAATTCTGGCTTCTTCCTCATCCATTACATTTTTGTGAAATTTGAGAATCTGGATGATCTTAGTGGCTAAGGTGCTGGGCTAGAACAAGGAGAATCCTCCTCCTCCTCCCTTAGACATAAAAGCTGGCTAGGTGATATGGACCAGTCACCTTTTCTTAGTCCACAGAAAATAGGGGAACAGGAAAAATATAAAGTATGTATGCATCCCTGAGTTGCCAAAAATAAAGCTGGAATAAGAATCAAATAAGTAAGCAGACACCAATTCATTTTCTGAAAATAAATTAAGGTATCTTTAAAAGCAAAGGCACTTATTACAATTACTCTTTACCTTGACTGCTACATGCAATTTGGCTGTTTTTTTGGAAGGTCCTGAAGCTTCATAAGTGATGCCATCAACTTCCACAGACATAGTAAATATAGGAGCATGAACTGGACCTGTCTGAGATACTAGTTTATATTGAAGTCCAGGTTTTAGCTGATTCAGTTTCATAAGAGCATTCATAGCTTGTGGAGGATCTGACTTTTCCTCTGAAGAAAAGAAATTTATTTTTAGATTACAACATCTTCATATGAGAGCCTATGCATTAATACTGCCAACTGCTAAATGCAGTCTTTATTGCTATCAAGCAAAAGCATAAAGCCCATCAATTTATGAGAACTTCCTACTATTCATCTAGTTACATATAACACTGTAACCAAAGTGACCATCTTAGTGAACACCTAAAATCTAAGCAAACCTACCTCTTGTCAACTCAATACCTTTTTTCTGAATCTTCTTTTTCTTTTTGCTTGGAGATTTCTCTTCTCCATCTTCTTCCATAGGACGTTTTAAAGGAGTGATGGCATATGTTGTACTAGGAGGGATCTGGACTGGTAAGATTAAAAAATTCAAAACTTCAGTACACTGGCCAATAAATCTCTGAGAAATAAAGTTCGCAAGTTTCAAAACGTACCAGTGTAATCAACTGGATTTTCATTTTTGGGTTTCTTGGGCATCTTTGATGGCAATGGATCCATCCCCAAGACTTTGTGAAGCTGGCCAAAAGCAGCAAGCCTCAGAGCATGCTAGAAAGATATAATGGATGTTATTGAGAAGTCACTCTGCTCCCAACATCTATTAAAACAACACCCAGTCCCAGTATTTCACATAAACATCTTTAAAAAATCATAGTTAAGTACTCTAGAACTTAAAGAGTTAAAAACCTGATACCTCATTTCTGGCAATCAATAAAAGCCTCCTATATTAGTGAAATGGGACCCTTTTCTAATAAAAGCCAGCCTCGTGGAGGTTACTAGCTACCAGTAAGAACTCATTGCGGTTTTGTAACATCTGTAATCAAAACTATACCTGAGCACTCTGTGTGATATCTTCCCTTTGTTGTCTGTCTAGATGCCCAATAGCATCAGTGGCTTCTTTTTCACAAGGATCATAAATACCAGAACCATCTGAAGGCAGGAAACAAGGAAGATATGCAGAGAATTATCCTAGGATCTCTATGTAAACTTGAATATTCCCTTAGTATCACCTAACACTCAAAATTGTAAGCATGGTTGATAATCTGATCTACTCTAAATTGCAGACCATTAAGCCCAACAATGTGGCAAACTTGCTGATGTATAAAAATGTTCCAAAATGGAATTGAAAATAGTGGGTCCAAAGAATATCTACTCAATATATCATTATATCCTAAATACAGAATGTTAAATGAAACAGATGATCAACTCTAACTTGCACTAGTTAAGAGAACAAATATCCACTGAAATTCTCAACAGCCAAGGACCATCTAACCTGGCATAACTATTCCGGATGCAAGGCATTCAAGAACTCTTCTCAGTGCCTCACCAGCTCCCATGGGCCGATTGGCTGTTCCAATTGATTTCTCACAAAGCAACTCTAGAGGCTGAAAAGAAATTTCCAAAACAATGAAAATAGCAGAACAATTATCAAAATTTATAATACAAATACAGATCTTTCTGATCAAAGCTTTGTTATCCATGATAGGCAATTGCAGAATATGCAGGCAGTCCTCATTCAGCAGTTTAACTATGGTTTGCAGTTACAACAGTTATGAAAAACTAATTTTGCAATCTGTCATTTCACTTATTTGTTTCGTATAAGATCTGTAAAGCAAAGGAAAGTTGAAGTCCATAAGCACAGGTGTAATATTATTTAGCAATTACTCTGCATAATGACCAAGTTGCCAGTGCTAATTATGGTTGCTTAAACAAGAACTACTTCTAATTTAAAGTTAGGAAATGAATCTTACTCAGACTTTTCCCCTACTATAAAATGCTATTTTCTTCTCTGCTAATTTTGCAAGCTTTTGTCTGGGATAAGAACCCAGGCCATTTAGAACAGAAAATTGATATTGAGTTAATGTATTCACTTTTTATTTCACATTAAGTAAAAATAGTTTCAGATTTTTCCACAATCAGGCTTAAATTAGAAAGGATTAGAAAGGAAGATTTATTACTCAAGGGTTCTCCTGGATTGAGTTCTTGCTTCATCAACACATGAAAACATAGCATGCCTAGCTTCAGCTGACATATTAACTGTGGCTGTACCTTTGGCAAGGGTATGGGCTGTCCTTAATGTCTACTTGGAAAACTGCAACTGCTCAAAAATGTGATGGTCTACATGTTTGCTAGAGCCAGTTTTGTATGGTGGTTACAGCACCAGAGTAGAAACTGGGGGACTGTGATTTCTAGTCCCACTTTAGGCACTTTTTCTCTTTTTCATGAAGAAGGCAATGGCAAACCACTTCTGAAAAATCTTGCCAAGAAAACTACAGGGTTTTTTTAAAAATGTGTTTGCTAGAGCTCACATCAGAGGACATTTAACAGTAATTGTTCTGCACTTATTCTAGATTCTAGGTATAAGTTAAGGTGCCAGTACTGATCCATGACTTGTCGTGTGGATATGGGTTACCATGTGGATATCTTCAGAACTGTCTGAATCAACCATTATCAGTAAGAGTTAAGAATAGCTAGGGAGACTCTTCCTATAATCCCACATTTCCAAAAGGCTTGGGAGGCTGAGGCTAATTGGTGCTGCTTTTCTATGGCAATGTTTTGTTTTTATTTATATATTTAGAAATACAGAAAAGCAACTGATTGTATCAGGATCTTCTCTTAAACCAGCACTGCTATTTAAGTACCCTTAAGATGTTTGCAGATTATAGATAATAGAAACAAAATGTTGTCAGACATGCAAAATGTATGTCAATAGTATTTCTTTTTCCAAATAAGTTCTTTGAAATAATATTCAGATAGGGATGCATAAATGCAATGTCTAATATTGTTTAAATTCTATTCATAACTATCAAAATAATTTAGACTTCTCATGATCGCAAAGCTACTTTTATAAAAGTCTACATTTTATCAGAGTAAAAAGATGAAACATTTATCAAGTAGAATCTGAGAAATGCAGAACTGCAAATTGTTGCAGAATTTACTATTATGTCTTGGACATAGTCCATCACTGCCTATCACTGATAGGTATTTGAGTTTTATTCAATCTCTTTAACATGCATTTTCTTTATAATTGCAAATTCCTTACAACTGCAAGGAAATAACAAAAGCAGATTGACAGTATTAAGTGGTGATCCATGAGACTGCATGGTCTTCAAATCATTTTGTTGCAAACATTAGGATTTAAGTTACTACTTGAGAATATGTTTGCCAGCAACAGACCAGCTTGCCTGTAGGTAAGCAATGTGTATGTGAATGGAAGAGGGAAAAAGCCTAACAGCATCCACTGTCATTAGCTACAGTATCAGATAGAATCATGATATAATAGGCATTCAACACTTTTATTAAGAAATAAAAAACATTCTACAATAGTTTATTATTGACTTCACTTTTAAAAGCATAGGACTTCAGGTTTAGAACTCAATCACTTATTAGAACCTTAACAGATAGGTTCAATAATATTTGAGAGTGGTTAAGTAATATATTTCTGAACATTCAAGAGAAAACCTAGAAAAAAATTCCCAACTTCCATCATCTATAGTAGCTTGCGCTGCACAAGAACTTGTTGACAGAGACCACATTAGTCAATTCACAGGAGTTCTGAAAAGATGGGGACATTTTAAGATTGCCTAACTTAACAGATGCTTTTTATTGTTTAAAAATTAGAATAGTCTGTCACTGTGTATACAACACTTTTATCATTACACATTTGTAAATTGTAAAGGAAATTTAACTTATTAGATTACCCATCCTCTAAGTGGAGCCCAAGTAGGAACACGGGTACAGAGATCTCTCAGCACTCTGATGACTATGACACATGATTTCAAGCCATTTGCCCTGGCCTAGAACAAATTAATAAGCAGGAAGGGGTCAGTAATGAATGTGAAAATCAATCTGAGACAAAACATACATTTTTGTAGTGCTACTTTGTCAAGGGTAAACTATGTATACATTTCCATAGCTTTTTATTTCTATATTTTTCTGTTACTGTGTATGAAAACTTACTCTTAGCACAAAGCAGCAGCTAGGAACTATGCCATTTCTCTGAAAAGTTAAATTCATCAAGTGCTTCTTTAGCAACTGTGTATTTAACAGATGCTAAGTTCTGCACATCTACAGCTCACATTAAAACATTTTAACAAAGTTAGGCAATTACAACTTACAGGTTTTCTACTTAAAGACAAATATAAGAACAAAATGCAAACCTGAAACCACTTGGCGTGTCGGAGTGACGCCAAGGCAGCAAGGCATTTCTGCCTGTCCAGAACGTCCGGTGAGTCGTTGACTGATAGCGTTTCTATTCGTGGGTGGAATAAGAAGACAAGGTACAGTTTGACCAAGGGGGTTCTGTCGGGTGGAGAGGGGATGAGGCAGTTTCCTAAAGGGCAGCTGAGGCTCCCCGAACTTTGATCTAAAGCCTGTACTTGAAAGTATTGCCTCAATACATTTTTTTCATCCTTATGAAGTGATAACTAAGTAAGGAGAACAATGTGAGGCATTAACTCATTTTAATGCAGGGAAAGAAACCTTACAGAAAAGGATAGCTTTTAGACTATTGTAACCAGGCTATAGAACTAGACTAACCAACAAAATGGAAGGTTAAAATTAGATTCCCACTTAAATCCAGTAGTAGTAGTACATAACTAAGAGCTTTTCTACAAGGAACCCCCTCCTCCCACAAGGCTTGACTGCCCTGGCCCCAGCCCATGACAGAGTGCGTCCTGTTGGTCAAAGGTCCAGCGTCCCTAAAATTGACAAACTAGAAGGCTTGGTAGATGTGTCAGATATCAAACCATAAACAATCAGGGAACAAATAATAAGTCTGTGCTGCAGCAAAATTAAAAAAGAAGGCAAGTTCAGTCATTTAAAAGATTTCAGTGTTTTAGCATACTGCTCTTCTGGCTATTGAAAAAATCAATGTTAAATTACAATCAAAATGCCAATGTGAATTCCATCTCATGGGATCTAGCAATTAAACTATATGAAAGCCATGCATGAGAATAGCAACTACGTAATATGCTAGACATATTGCAGTTATCAAATACTAAATGTGAACTGCTTTTTGTGACTCAGCTATATGGTTATACTTATATATGTATGTGAATTAGCCCCTATTTAAATAAAAAATATAGTAATTTTATTCAAAACTCTGCATTGTATTTTAAAATTCAATTGAACACTCCAAAGTTAAGGAGAAAAAGCATAGAAAAATAATCATTTTTGCTGCAACACAAACTGCTTGATGTAATACACTCAATTTCACAAACATGCAAAAATTTAAAAGTAAAATGTCAATATTTTAAGAGATTTGGGTTTGCACATGTATCATCTATAATTATTCACATTTAATAAAAAAAAACTATTATGCACAAGTGAACTAACACACTTGTAGAAAGGCTAGACCAAAAGGCCTAAATGTTTAAAAAAGGCATTTCATTTGGAAATATCACTCAAGTTCTAGAAGACTGCGTCAGATGATCCATAATCAAGAAATTGTAAAACATTGTGACACAAATTGACTTGCATGAAATTGCTCTGCCTAATCAAGAAACTGTACACCATAATAATTAGAAAAGTCAGTTTGGAAAATCATTCTGGGACTGCTAGCAACTTTCAGTCTTCCATACCTCCAGCTAACATTTTTTCCATTTCTTCTCTGACAACAGGGGATGTCAAGTGAATAGTAAGTGTCAGTGGAGGTTCTTTTGTATTCTTAATTGTAATTGCAGCATCACTGACAGATTGAATAATTTCATATTTGTCTTCAGTAATAGCCTGAAACACAAGAAAATACTTTATATTCTTAGCTTTTTGTCTCTTCCAAACATTCAATTTAGAGTTCGGGGACAAAAACAGTCCTTTCAAAATAATTAATACAATCAGTAGTGATTTAGGATCAATTATACCTCAGGGATGTCCACCTTCTATATCAGCAACTAAATCTTCAAAGTAATATACTCTTTGTGATTTTACCATCTTAGTAAAGTTGGGGGGGGGGAGGAGGAAGGGAATAACCAGTTGGTTTTGAGGACAGCCCAACACTGAAAAACCGACTAAAAGCTTTTTGCCTGGTTTTTAAGTATCTTGCAAATGTGGAATAAATGCTGAAAAAGCGGTATTTAGAAAAACTATTACCACTGCTGATTTACATTATATTTAGTCACAGTAGTACATCAACCATTATTGAGAACTGTGAAAGAATATTTCCAAAGCAATCTAAAACTATTTTGCACTATGTATTGTTCTAAAATAATGTTAACAGGGTTATTTATACAGACACTGAACCCCCCAATTGGATCTGAGTAATTTGAATATGATTTAAATATCCAAATAATTAAGAAACTCAAACACATCTATACACATTTTGCATACACATAAATGCATTTGTTTAATATAACATGGCACCACATCTGCATAATCATCAGAAGAGACAAGACAAGTAGACAATTTCTTAAACAGTATAAAGGTAGTCCTCGACTTACAATTCATTTAGTGGCCATCCAAAGTTGCGTCACTGAAAAAGGTGACATATGAGTTTTGCACTTATGACCATTGTAGCATCCACATGGTCACATGATCAAAATTAGATGCTTGGCAATTGGTTCATACCTATGAACATTGCTGTGTCCCAAGGTCATGTGATCACCTTTTGTAACCTTCTGACAAGCAAAGTCAATGGAGAAGCCAGGTTCACTTAACAATCAGGTTACTAACTTATCAACTGCAGTGATTCATTTAACAATTGGCAAGAAAGGTCGTAAAATGGGACAAATTTCATGTAACAAATGTTTCACTTAGTAACAGAAATTTTGGGCTCAATTGTGGTCATAAGTTGAGGACTACCTGTATTTAAAAAGTAGGTGGTGAATGATTCAATGCCTAGAAAGTTTTAATCATGAAAACATTACACAACTAGGAGTATTCTAAATGGCTGTATGAGGTATCACAACAGCTTGAAGAGGTTCTAATTTATGAACATTTGAACACTGCAAGGAATACCAAACTTCAAAGTTAGTTCAATCCACAGAACCAACTGTTTGTTATATACATATTAAAAATATTAGGATAGTACACATTAGCCTATTTTTATACTCACAGCAAGCTGTGTGCTGAGATTGTCGGCTACTTTTTCCAAAAGACCAATAGTGGGTTTCTCTTTACATAACAGAACCAGCTCAAGATCCAAGTCTCCCTTCAGCAAGAGGCCTTTTGCTACAAGACCAACACGCATCACTCCACGAAGTGTCCTAGTCAAGTGCTCTGTAGTCTTCTGATCACTATAAATATATATATATATGTATTTATATATATATATAGCCAAAATAGACCAACTCTTCCTTTATATATTTGTTCAGCCAAATTTTCAATGAACAGGAAAGATACTAAGTTGATTAAGCTGCAAACCTGCAATATTAAACTGTGTGTTGGTTCTTGCAAGCTCATTCATTTAGAATCAGACCATTACTCAATATATTATCAACCAATTATTTTTCCTACTAATTATCCTGCACATGAATCTTTCTATATGGAAAAGAAACAAAATTGGTTTTATGCAATGCTAATATTGTATTGTTCAATAATGTTCAAGTAGAATAATCATGTAATATTTCTATCAATATTTATTTATTAAATTATACCAATAAACCATCTACTTTACTAGACCAACAGTTTAAAATTGCAAAGTATTTTCCCAAATGGCTGGAAGCTATGATCAGGCACCCTTGACTATAGCTTCATTTCTAGCACAGGTTGTATTTGTTCAGTGCTGATTGAATAAAGAAATGCCCATTTAAAAAAAAAGTATATATTGCAATAGAGATCCATGATTTCAAGTAATCCTTCTCCAAAGTTAGAGAAACATCTAAACAGGATACCATGTTTACATACCCTGTTGAATTTGTTTAGTTCTTTTTCTCTCTCTAATTCTGAAGAGGAGGTTAGAAGCAATTTTCCTCTGATCACTAAGTATGTTAGCAGAGTTTCTCAGCAATATCTAAATATACCTAGGGGAATTTTAATGTCAGCATCAGAGGTACATAATTTTCATTCATAATATTGCAACCCATCATGAATCAGAGCTGGAAGGGACTTTGGAGGTCTTTCTAGTCCAACCTCCTACTCAAGGCAGAAACCTTTATAATCCCAGACAAATGGTCTTCCAATCTATTCCCCAAAACCTCCAGTGATTGAGCACCTACAATCCAGGAGGCAAGATAGTTTAATTGCTATCAGAAAATTTATCCTTACTTCTAAGTTGGATCTCTCTTTGACAAGATTCAATCCATTACTTCTTGTCCTGCCCTTTGGTGCCCTAGAATAAGTCAATCCCCTCTTTGTGACAGCCCTCAAATACTGGAAGACAGTTAGCCTCCAGACCTTTTATCATCTTTGTTGCTCTTCTCTGCGCTTTCCAGGGTCTCAACTGTGGTATAAAGTGGTATTATCACTTTATGTGATCTTGAAGAGAAGAACATGACAAAAACTATGAATGCCCGCTTTCTGCCTTGCCAGAACTTGCACCAGCAGGCTTTTGGTCATATTAGATTATTATATACAATATAATTATATACAACATTAGATCTCTCTGGAATAACAGAAAGGATTTCCTGCCCAATAAGTAAAATGTAGTTTGTGTGTATAAATATTTATTTTAGTTTTCCAGAAAGTTGGTGGTCTGTCCATAGTTTCAACATTTACTAAGCCACCGTGTTGACATATTAGCACAGGGATGTTTATTCTTTTGTCATCAAGAGCCGCACTACTTTCCCATGTTGTTCTGTACAGCTAAGAGCCAATGCCACTGTTGTGTGATGTCAGGGATCAAAGGTGGGAAATCTTATTCATCTATCTGAATTGGGGCAAACATTTCTGCAGTGGTGGGGTGTATCTTTGGGTTTCAGTATTTTATTTTTCAGTCCCCTAAAGATTGCAGTTGCCAAGGGATGGGACAGTTCCTAAAATGCTTAACTTGCTTTTTTTTCTTGAAATGTTAAGGACCAAACTAGTCTATTAAGCAAAATATGAGAATTAATACATCCACCTACTCAAAAATAATAAAAAATATGCTATTAAATATGGGTTCTGTTGGGTATAGCATTGATACACCAACTAAGTTTGGGTGAATAAATATATAAACCAAGGTTTGGGTGTTTGTAACTTGTAGCTTTAAGCACCAAAACTGCTTGTAATTAACTAATTAAGGGTGCGGTTACAAACGGCAATAAAAGGCAGTAAGAGAAACGTAACTCTCTCTCTGCTTGTTTTGTCTGCTTGCTACTGTTTGTTTGCTACTGTTTGCTACAACTGTTTGAATACCTGAACGAAAGGACTATATCATTGATGTGCTGATATCCTGTGAATACTCAGCGTTGTCTTCAAAAGGAAAGGTATCAAAGGAGAAGATATCTTTACAAGCAGATAAGGATATAGAACTGACTAGTAAATGGACTAAGTTACTGAATGGATATATTTGTGTATGACATATGGACTGATTGACAATGTTTAAACTCTAATAGGATTAAACAACTATTTAAACTACAAAACAGTGTTTGTCATCAGTGTGTGTAAACTCTAGGGCCCTTCCTCTCTCATTTGGCTGCCTGGCTTGACTGCTGCTGCACATTCTGTTTTTTGGGGGTTTGTCCCAAATAACTAACAGGTTCTCTCAAATAGGGAGAGGGAAGTGAATATGCAGGCTACTGAATGCCCCCCATCGTGGTTCCATCTGTTTTGTTATTTTGAAAGTCAGAAAATACGCCACTATTTCTCACTCAAGTTATTAGTGTGATTTCTGGATATCATTAAAGCAAAAGAGATAGTGGTTAGTCCTAGAAACATTAGCTTGTGAAAGTTCAAAATTCTCTTTGCCTATATTTGTTTTAAAAGACATGTTGGGTGAGGGCTTCCGGTTGGGTGCTGTGTCAGTGCGGAGCTGAGGAGTGGATTGCCGCTCTGAAAGATTCCAATTTTCGCTAGTTGGTGGCTTTTTGGAGCGTGTCAGACCCCGGAGGGGTAGGCAAAGAAAGGGGAAGACACGGAGGTCTTGGGGAGGTGCCGCGATCCTGGAGACTGGAAGAACCCCCACGAAAACCAACGGCAGAAGAGGGAGATCATGACGATCATAACCAGAGACGCAGCAGCCCAGCCGATTAAAATAAGCAAAAAGAGGGAAACAGCAGGCTGAGCACTGGAAAGGTGTATTTAAAGATTTTCAGAATATTGGTGAATATCGTAAAGGAAGCTCCAATTTGAGTGGTGTGGTGAAGCGGCAGAACTATTGACAGGAGCACTGACCAAAACAACGGCAGAGATTTATGCTGACAAATGGAACTGTGAAACTTGAGGAGACGAAGGGTGAGATAACAACATTTGCTTTGCGAGTGGAGGAGTGAACTATAGAACCTTATTGTCCGTGTATTTGAGAAGTGGGGAAAGAAAGAAAAAGAAGTGAAAGTGGTTAAGTGGTATAGGAAAACGAAAGGATAGTTAAGAGTGTAAAACTTGGAAAAGAACTTTTGACGCATTGAAAAATTGGAAGAAAGGACTAGGGAAAAGAAACTATAATTTGGTAAATATTAGTAGACAACTCTGACAACAAAACAAGGAAGATCTATTTAAGGTTTATAAGTGGAACTGTGACTGTGGGAGTAAAAGAACAAAAAAGAAGAAAATACACAAATAGAAAGAAGAAACGAAACAGAGAAAGTGACTGTGCAACTTGGAATGAGGACATTTTGAATTAATAGTTGTTGTAAGACAGCTAACAAAAAGACTCTGGATCTGACTTAAAAGATACTGGTAAAATGCAAACCTATTTAAGTAACATTGGTAGAAAACTAACTTAATAGAGGTAAATACATTAGAAATTTGTATATAGAATATTAATACTGATTGAATTTTTTGGATTAATTGAATAATTGTTGGAAAGTGATTCTATAAGCATATGAATTAGATGGTCAAAGAATAATTATATAATACTATTATTCTTATCTTATTGTTCTACTGATAAATTATATTAATCAATTTTTGTTTAAAAATATTACATAAGAAATCTAGGAAAAAATGAAATTAGACTTACTTAAATAATATAATCTTAAGGAAATAGATAAATTCATATATATAGAAATTCAAATATATTAATGAGCTGGGTGCTTTAACTATTTACATTATTTAATGAATGAATGAATTAATTAATTATATAGGTCTGGTGTTTTCTGGTTAAGCATACTTGTATCTATTTAATTGTATTTAACTATACCTATATTGGATTAATATTTAACTTTCTAAACCTTAGAATATTTGAGTATTTAAGAAATAGAAATAAGATTTGTCTGGGACTATCCATAATAGAAAACTCTTAATTAACAATATATGTATTAATACATATACTGTATTCAAATGAGAAGACAATATAACTCTACTAAGGATAGTTGACGGTAGATTGGAGAGAGCTCCTACAAATAGTTAAAATGGCAAGAATAACTACAAATGTAAAATCAGGGAAGAAACCTACAACAGTGACATCTTCATCTCTGGGACAGAGATCAACTGACGCAATGTTACTGGTGGAAAAGACAAGCTCTGGCCAAAGTTTGCAGGAGTACAGTCAACACTTGCTGTGATGCAGGAAATGATGGTAAAAACCCATGAATTGATAGCGAGGAATTCCAAAGACATGGAATTAGACACGAGAACGGAAATAGGAGTGAAGAACGAGATAGAAAATTTGGATAGTAAAATCGGAAAGATGCAGGAGGACAATGACAAAAAACGAACAAAAATTAAACAGGGTAGAGGCAAGAACTGAGGTGGTGGAAAAGAGATTAGAGAAATTGGAACAAAATTGGAAAGTCTTATATCGTGAACTTCAGGATTCCGTGGTGCATATAGAATGAGAAAAAGCATCATTTTATTTGAGATTCCAGAATGTTGTTGAAAATAAAAAGGAAGATCTACGTGAAATAATGGCAAACTTGATAGCAACAGCCCTACAGAAAGACAAACAGGAAATTGAGAATGACATCGATGAGGTTTACAGAGTATATACACACTACGCCTGAAGACACAGACTACCCCGAGAAGTCCACATCCGATTCACGAGAAAGATGATACGAGACATGCTATACAGCAAGACGAAAGACAAGCCACTGTATATATAAAGATCATGAACGATACGTTGAAGCTAATACCTAGAAGAGGTAGGGAGCAAAGAAAGGGCTACCAGTTTTTGTCATCTCAGTTAATTAAGAATGGTATATCATTCAGATGGCTCACCCCG